CCTATCACTGCTAGATTAGGGATGGCTAGTGCAGATATCCCTCATGTAGCTTTGCGCGAATTTCAAACCAAACCAAAACAATTGTGGTATCCAAACACTAGATTATTCTCTTACCATATAGCTTCATGTTGCAGCATGTGGCTTGAACTCTTACACGGTATCCAAGATTGAGATATTAACAGTCAGAGTCTAAATGTGTAATGATACAGTCTATTGGTACTTCTGTATTGTGGGCCTGGGTGATGCAGTACAACAAAGTCAGACTTCTGCAGTCACCCATTATGGATTTTTAAAGTTCATAAACCATTTCCTTCAGCAATGCATGAATCATATGAATGGTAAACTTCATTGTTGAAAAATACCTTGAAGGTGAAATTGAGAAGGCAGAAATTAGATGGTCATGTACAGTATATACAATCATCATTCCTACAAGTCCCAAAAGAAGGTTTCTACCATCTTTGCCTTGATGTTTCTAGACAGCGAATTAGCCAGAAGTTTTAAATGTAGAAAAAAAAATCAAGGTACTTGACAACATTTGATTTGGTACTAATTTTACTTAAAAATTTGAAAGAGAAAACAAAAGATGAATAGCATAATGTGTTTATTTGTGGGTGTTTTTCTTATAACAAAGCCTTGATTTTAGCCTTGTAAATCCATAGCCTTACTGCTGTTCCACCAGATTACAAATAACATTATGGATATTGTTACGCCTCTGTGTTCGTTGGTTAATTTTCTTTAAAAATGCTTTCCAAAGAAACTTCAGCGATACAAGTCCTTTCTTAAATAAAACTAGTGTATTCTTTCTCAATACAACTTTGCAATATATCTGATTTCTAAAGTCACGCTTAAACAAACGCTACAATTCACAATGAACGACGATTCATGTGCTTGACTCAATTGTCGTCTCTCTCTCTGTCCACAGTTCAATTACCCATTGTTGCCATCACGTCTTGACCGTCTTATATGTACAAGAATACCGAAATCTAGTAAACGCTCGAGGA